TTTTTTTTTTCTTTTTTTTTTTTTTTTTTTTTTTTGAAGGGGGGGAGAAGACTGGTCGTCCACATGTCCCTGGCATCCTTTGAGAGCAGCAGTGTGCAGAATGTAATGCTCTTTTTTAAGATATATTTTATGATTTTTTTAATAAATTTAGTGAACCTATTATTGGTGGTCTTTTTTTTATATACATAAGGTAATACGTAAAATGGATACACCCTTTTTCCCCTCCCACAAGAAAATGCATAAGTGAAAGTTACTGTTAAGTTTGCTCTTCTGCTTCTTTGATATAGATGGAGTTACATGTTTTTGGCAAATTAAAGAAACGGTGAAAACAGTGGCTCAGCTTTGCTATTTGGGGAAAAAGTACAAAAATATGAATGCAAACATTGTGTGAAATTTGACCTTTTTTTGCAAGTTTCTGGCCCTCTTTGCAGTACATATATATATTGGTGACAGTATATAAATAAAATATTTTAAGTTTGTGATGCCACTTGAGTTAACAGTGGGTTAAATACACCTTGTTCTAGACAGCTTGCTTAATGCAAATAACAATGTTAAAAATAGCAGTTGGTGTATCATTAATGAATGAATTGTAGTTTTCAGAGCTTTCATTTGTGTCAGGTAGAAACTTTTATGAATTGACAAATTGGCAGTATCTAAGTTCTGTATACAATGAAAATCAAGTTAAACTTGTTTGTTTTCCCTGTTGTTTGTTGAATTCCATAGGAAATATTTGTGAGAAATTAAAAAAGATAAAGTACCTCTGCATATTTCATGTAATACCTTGGCATTTGTATTTATAGTTTACAAGTTTTAATTTCACTTCCTAAATAAAAACAATTTTAAAAAATGCAAAAAAACTTTGTAAATCTGAATGTCATTGATCCAGATTAAGTGAATTATTTCACTTTGGGGGGTGTGTGTCTAGGACATTTTACTTTTCTCATCTTTTTGAACCATATGGGGTAATTCCTATCATAATAAGGAGCTACACTTACAATGTAATGGGAAAGGGCAAGGAGGTAAGAGGTGACCTCCTTAGCAGAGCTATAATCAGTCCTTGGAAAACACCCAAAACCTGCTTTCGTCTAGGGCAAGGAGCATGGCAGTTTTCCCAGTGAATAAACATACATGTAGAATTGGCACTTCCTTGGGAAAGGCTGAACATCAGTTATATGGAGAAATCAGCAACCTAGAAAAAGGGGTCAGATAAAATGCAAATGAATTAAGAGGAAAAACATGGGTACGGGATTTTTTTTTTTTTCTATGCACTTCTACATTGTGTATGTGCAGGTGGTTTGCTGGGTTGTGTTTTTTAAAATATTTTAGGGGGAGGAAAGCTGCACAAGTGTCAATATACTGATGTGTTTTGTTTTTTCTTTTTCATGATCTGCATCTTTTAAGAAGCTAACCTAGTCTTACAAAGAAGTTGAGCACTGCTCTAGCTTTAAAGGTTTCCTTAAAACCAACCATGTATGACTTGAGATGAGCCTAAGGGATTCCTGCTGTAAAAAAGAGCTTATGTCTTTGTCTCTGTCCCTGCCCCTCTTTCCCCTACTGACCTAGTGCTGAAAAGCTGCCTGTTTCCTGAGGAGTACTGTGCTGAGGTTTTCTGCTAGGGGAGTGATGTAGGGGAATACTGATACCACAATAGTCCTTACACTCATACTTCAAAAATAGTTTAGTAATACAGATTGTACAAACTGAAACCATTTATTCCTTATGGAGGGGCCTTTTTTTAAAAAGCTGACTGCTATGTACAGAAACTGCTGGATTTGAAATGTAGCCCTTAAGGCATGGGTTCTGTAGCAGCATTCACTGTTAGGTGCATGTTTCTGTACATTATGCCTGAAATTAATTTAAAATGTCTAGAAATCATAATTTTTTTGACTGCTTGGTGCATGAGTTACCAACCATTGCACAGCCAGAAAAGGCAAATGTGTGTGTTTTAAGTAGGTTTGTACGACCCCATTAAGTCAAAACCAATGTTACATTATATTGTATAAGCAATCTACAGTTTAATTTAAGGGAATGATATTACTACAAAGCTGGGAGCTGGTTTGTGGAGCTCGCAGGCAGGCACTACTAGCTCGACAGCCTACTCCACCCCCAGCCGCCCCCGCGCGCCTGCCCAGTGAGCGGCGGGCGATGCGGTTTTCCCTGCACAGCGCTAGAAGGGCGGGGCGGTGTGGCGTCGTTGAGGGGCTGGTGGTTGTGGGTTGTGTGAGGGGTTGTCGCGTCCTTGGTAGCTGCTTTCCTGTGCCGGTAAGGGAGGAGTAGTTTCGGTCGTACCGCTTCTTGCTGCCTCTGATTGTCCGGTTGCGGAAGCGAAGGCTGTGCTGGAGCCGGCCGGCGTGAGGCGGTCAGGGGGCCGGGCGGCGAGGGAGGCGTGCTGTGGGGCTGCTTCCTGTCAGTGTCCCCGCGGGGTGGGGAAAAGACATGAAGGAAAAAGCAGCCTTGAAAATGTCTTCTAATGAAAATGCCTTCTTGAAAATGTTTTCTACCCTCAGATACGAGGCCGAGCATGGTGCCGTTCGCGTTCCACACACGCACACACACCCGGAGCCTGCCAAGTTCATAGCAGACAGCAGCTAGATGTCTTTGTGGACATCTTATTTGTGACTCTAATTTGATTATTTCTTTCTATTAAAAAGACTTTCAGAAATGTCTGTAGTCACCTTTTCATGTCTTCTATTATTTCACATATATTTTTAAAATAAATCTCATATTTTCATGATAAATGAGAAAACCATGCTTAAACCAAAAATCCTCTGGGTTGATCTAGTACTACTAAAGCAGCTCCACTAAATCTGAAAAAATATATGCTTCTGAAAACAGTATTCTAGTACTCACTGTTGTCATTTCATAAGAAAAAAATCTGTTTGTAGGTTTAGATGGAAGTTTTAATTAAATTCCTCTATATTTGTGTGTAAACTAAGAGGAAGTTTGTATGAAGATACTTTTTGTAAATGCACAATGATTAGGAGCTAAGGTAAAGCATAGGTCTATACTAATGACTCTGCCTGGTATGCTACGTAAACATCATGCTGAAATATGAGGACTAAGCAGATGAGAAAAAATTACATGCAATCATGGTTTCCTTTTTATATGTTGGAAATTGTTATCTACAGAAGGGAACACTGTGTACAAACACAAATTTAGTTTTAAGCAATGATTTAAGTGTGATCACTTAATGCTTGGTTGTTCTTAAGAGTTAATAGACTTTTAAATCTTAGTTGTAGTATGAATGCTCTCATCTGTAGTAGATCACTCCATTAGATCTTTAGATATGGTATGATAGCCTAAACATCTTGTTTTTACTTTTCTGAAGGAATACATATTACCAGAGCATTGTATTATGCCACCATGACACTTGACCAAGTTAGACATGTATTTCACTCTGACACGGAAGTCCCTATGCCTTTGATTGAAGAGAGAGATTGTATGCTGAATTAAAATGGAACAGTTCTGTTGGAGAGATTTGGAGGCTCTTTCCTCACCTGCGTTAAAATGAGTAAAAAGAAGTGCTTAGAAACTACTATATTTAGTAGTGGAAAATTTTCCTTCTTACAGAGATTAAGTAATATTTGAGGTAAGTTAGTTCTAGCACTGAGTTTTTTATGATAAGAACTTACTCCTTACTGATTGTGGCTTTAAAGGATAGTTGTTGTCTATGAAAATTCTTCTGAAAGGATAGTTCAGAATTGATCTAAAATTTGTGAATTGTTGAGATTTTTTAATCCAGAAAATGGTAGGTGAACAGCAATGTTTATGTGGATGTTAATGTATACAAAAATGAAATAAGAAGTTACCATTATTTTAACATTTTGCTTCAAATCAACAGAGACGGTCTAGATAATGAAAAGAAAATCAGACTTTGAAACTGTTGTTTTTAATTATGTAAATTGGTATTAGTAATAAAAATAGGGAAGAAGGGTTTTTTAAATACTATTTTTGGACCAAAGTATACTCTTTTTTTTTTGTTTGTTAAAATGGGGTAAATGGGGATTTAATTTCTCTCTGAAAACAGAATCACACAGTTTGCTAACAACAAAAGAATCTTGCTTAAGTTCTTGAAATCCGGTTTTGTTAGTATTCATAAGTAAGTCCTGAACTAGCCAGGAATGTATTTCTTATGACAAGATGCTTTTTTTCCAGAGGAAAGCCATTTTTTCATATGCTGTCTCTGTCTTCATCACTCTTGTAATTAATTGTCAGGGTTATGCTTGTATCCCTTCAAAGGAGATGATGTTCTGTAAATATCATGTTTTCGGTAGCCATTGTTGTTGTCAGCTGATAAAACTGGCTAGCAGGCAGAGCTCAGCCTCTTCCAGCTATTGCCTATTAGAGCCTTCACATCCAATGTTTTTGTCTCATCTTGGGCCTGCTCAGACAAGCTTTTACCCCTGTATTATGGTATTGTCCAAGGTCCCAATTGGATCAGGACTCCATTGTATGCCTTATAAATATACATAACATTTGAGATAAATTCTGCCTGAAAAGTCAGTCTAGTTTGGGGTTTTTTTTATTTATTTAATCTTTATCTTTCCTCCCTTACACCTCTTTTTCTTCCTTTATCTTTAGGATTTCTGCAGCTAATGAAGGAAATGAGACTGGTAGAATTGTGACAATGTACAACTACTGTGAATCCACACTATAATTAATGTTGATTCAATAGATTTTGCATGAATGACTACATGAATGACCAGAATTAACCCCAAATATCATACTTTTGTCAGGGTTGACAGTATACTGAAGCTTTTTGAAATAGTTTGCTTGAAAGAA